AAAATCCTCCCGGATTGACCCCAAAAATCCTCCCAAATTGACCCCAAAAATCCTCCCAAATTGACCCCAAAATCCTGGGATTCACCCCAAAAATCTTGGGGATCGACCCCAAAATCCCGGGGATTGACTCCAAAATCCTGGGGATTGACCCTAAAAATCCTGGGGATTGACCCTAAAAATCCTGGGGATTGACCCTAAAAATCCTGGGGATTGACCCCAAAAATCCTGGGGATTGACCCCAAAATCCTGGGGATTCGCCCCCAAAATCCGGGGATTCGCCCCAAAAATCCTCCCAAATTGACCCCAAAATCCCCCCAGATTGACCCTAAAAATCCCTCCGGATTGACCCCAAAATCCTGGGGATTCGCCCCAAAATCCCTCCGGATTGACCCCAAAATCCCACCGGATTGACTCCAAAAATCCTGGGGATTGACCCTAAAAATCCTGGGGATTCACCCAAAATCCTGGGGATTGACCCCAAAAATCCCCCAGGATTGACCCCAAAAATCCCGGGATTCACCCCAAAATCCCGGGATTCACCCCGAAATCCAGAGGGATTCGCCCCAAAATCCTGGGGATTTACCCCAAAAATCCAGAGGGATTCACTCCAAAAATCCCGGGATTCACCCAAAAATCCTGAGATCTTCCCCATTAAAACCTGGGAATATTCCCATAAAATTTTGGGAATTTTCCCATAAAATTTTGGGAATTTTCCCATTAAATTCAGGGATAATTCCCACTAAAACCTGGAATTTTTCCCATTTAATTTTGGGATTTTTTTCCCATTTAATTTTGGGATTTATTCCCACTAAGAACTTGTGATTAATTTTGGGATTTTTCCCCAGTAAAAGCTGGGAATTTTCCCAATAAAAGCTGGGAATTTTCCCAATAAAAGCTGGGATTTTTCCCAATAAAAGATATGATTTTTCCCAATAAAAGCTGGGATAACTCTGATTTATTTTGGGATTTTTCCCCAGTAAAAACCCGGGATTTTTCCCAATAAAACCCGGGATAACTCTGATTTATTTGGGGATTTTTCCCAATAAAACCCGGGATTTTTCCCAATAAAACCCGGGATAATTCTGATTTATTTTGGGACTTTTCCCCAGTAAAAACCCGGGATTCTTCCCAATAAAAGCTGGGAATTTTCCCAATAAAACCCGGGATTTTTCCCAATAAAAGCTGGGATAACTCTGATTTATTTGGGGATTTTTCCCAATAAAACCCGGGATTTTTCCCAATAAAACTCGGGATAACTCTGATTTATTTGGGGATTTTTCCCCAGTAAAAACCCGGGATTTTTCCCAATAAAAGCTGGGATAACTCTGATTTATTTTGGGACTTTTCCCCAGTAAAAACCCGGGATTTTTCCCAATAAAACCCGGGATAACTCTGATTTATTTTGGGATTTTTCCCAATAAAAGCCGGGATAACTCTGATTTATTTTGGGATTTTTCCCAATAAAACCCGGGATAACTCTGATTTATTTTGGGACTTTTCCCCAGTAAAAGCCCGGGATTTTTCCCAATAAAACCCGGGATAACTCTGATTTATTTTGGGATTTTTCCCAATAAAAGCCGGGATAACTCTGATTTATTTTGGGACTTTTCCCCAGTAAAAACCCGGGATTTTTCCCTCGGAAATTCGGGATTTCCCCCAATAAAATCCAGACCAAATCCTCCCCAATCCCGTTCTTTTCCCGTCTCTGTGAAACCCGGGATGGTTCCCATGGATTTTTCTCTCTTTTCCCCATTAAATTCCGTTTTTTCCTGGAAATTTGGGATTTCGGGGCGCCAGAGCCCGTCGGGGCTGATCTTCCCGGACCGCGCCACGCTCTACGTCACGGCCATCGAGGACCGCCAGTACAAGGACTACAAGATCCACTGTGAGAATCGGGAATCGGGAAGATTCGGGGGGATTGATTCGGGGCGATTGATTCGGGAATTTTATCACATTTTGGGGATTTTTTGGGGATTTTATCACATTTTGGGGATTTTTGGGGATTTTTTGGGATTTTTTTCAAATTTTTTGGGATTTTATTGAGGATTTTTTGGGATTTTTTTGAGGATTTTTTGGGAATTTTTTTCAAATTTTTGGGGATTTTTTGAGGATTTTTTGGGAATTTTTTTCCAATTTTTGG